ATCACGGGTTCGAGCCGTGAAAATAGCGTCTTGCAGCAATGCAGGGTAAGGCTGCTTACAATATGTAGGGAAATGACACCGGAAAACAACGATAATAGAAACACGAATTGGCTTGAGTCGTGCTGGGCACTGTCCTAAGAAACTATTTCAGCAATGTGAAATATTTCCTCATGATTAAACAAGCCCATCTCTATTTATTCAGAGGATACAGGAATCAGAAAGAAAAATAAAGGAAGGAAAGAAAAGAGGCGTAATGGAGAGAGGAAGTAGAAATAAGAAGCATTTCTTGTGTTTCTTCATCAGGGATTAAATATAGACAAGTGTTCATACACATAATTCGAGTCAAACTGAGAAAAAAAAATTCGAATGTGGTTTAGTTTGATTTAGTTTGGTGTTAGAAAAGAATACCCGACCATAATTCGTTTGGTTTGGCTTTAACTAAATAAAGTCAAACCGAAACCAAACCAACCCTACATACATATATAGAAATTTTAGATATATTTAATATACTAGTCTTAGTGTACGCGCGTTGCGTGTGTACTTTGTATAAATGAGAAAAAACTTTTTAAAATAGCATAATTAATTATTTTAAAGATATATTTGTGTTACATCTCTTTATTTTCACTATCTTGATGCGGTTCTGAAGCCAAAGAATTTGATTGCTTGCGATCTTAGATAATGAGGATAATGATCGTCGAGTGAACCTCTATAAGAAGTTAAAATAATTCTTTCATGTAAAATAATTTTTTTTTTTTTTTTGGTTTTTTAGTTGGTCACAATAAACTTATTTCTTTTGTCATTAAAAAAGAATATTTCTTTTGTCGATTGGAATTGAGATCATTCTGGCGCAAGCAGTCATGTAGTCATGCATTTTGTGATTTGGTTCATAGTATATTCCAACTTCTAACAAATATTTTTTTTTTAAAATTTGCATGCAGTAAAAATATAATTTGATTATTCATTGTACGATCATGCATGCTTTGGATATTCTTGGTTCAATGTTTTGGAGAAAATTGGTAAATAAGTATATTTTTACAATTTTCTAAATTTTTTAGCACGCGCACGAAAAATAAAGCTACATATTAATTGTGAGATTACTTCATATCAATAATATTTTGAATGAGCAACCAGATTGCTTTGTATATTGTTACTTTGTGTCTAATTTTTGGAGCATGCTCCTAAAAGAATCGTCAATGATATTTAATAATAATAATAATAATAATAATAATAATAATAATAATAATAATTAAACAAATAAACTTTTGTAGTATTACTTCTAGTTCTAGTTGATGATGGCAAGGTGTTGAGGCGTTAGTCTTTTTTTGGCCTTTTAGCTTCGTGTGAGATTCGTGCGACTTTTTAGCTTTTTGGCAAGGACTTGCTATATTGCCTAACGAAGAGAGAAAATTTAAGTTGAGGAATTTATTTTACACCTAAATATTAGGCTAAGTATTGATTGAAGTTGATTTGAAAATCTTAAATATTAGGAAGTTAATTTAAATTACAATTTAACCCCTTGTGAAATATATTTTTAAAGGGTAAAAAACGCGAACGACATTTCGCTAAGGGCCTTCGTGCTTTTAATATAGTATAGATAAATATACTTATTGTGATGTAATTTATAAATACTTCTTAAATTTTTTCATTATTTTATCTTTTAACGTATTATTATTTCAAGGTTGGACTTAGAACTTTTGAATGTTCCAATAAGTTTTATAGACATTAATATTAGTAACTTAAATAATGCTAACAAAGTCCAAACCAAAATCAAATCAATGCAATGCTAACAAAAGACATTCAATTCTATAGTAGGAACGACAATGTATTGAATATCTATTTTTTATTTTGCAATGATTTAGATAAAAATGCATAACCTATTATTTTTTCTTTAGCGTTTAGTCATGTAATTAATACTCCCTTATTAGTCTACTTATTATAGCATAACTTAGTACTTTTAGATTATCTTTATTTTTATTATGGCTTTTTAATTTGCAATATTTATATTACATAATTTTATTATCTTTATTATTGAATATTTTAGGATAATGCCATGACACATCTCATATTTTGTATTATTTTCTTGAAAAATACCTTATATAGTTGTATCTTACTAGGATTAAAGAAATATTTTGAGCACAAGTTATATGTTTTGTGCTACGAAGATTTTACCGAAAAAAATCCGAGAAAAACCGAAATTGAAAAACCTGAGTTTTATTGGTTTGGTTTGGTCTTTAGATTTAAAAACCCGACATACTTGGTTTGGTAATTGAAAAATCCGAACCAACCCGACTTATGTACACCCCTACACTTACTTGTCCTTAATTCCCTTTACATTGCCACTCCAATGTTTCTTTTCATGCATAGTGAAACTTGGTTTAAGACATGACACTTGGACTCATTTATTTTGAAAATATTATCAAATAACAGACCCTTGTGGTCTGACCCTTCCTCAGACCTCGCACATAACGGAAGCTTAGTGTACCGGGCTGCCCTTCAGCTTCTCTCTTCAGTTGTGTCTTGTGTTTGCTGCAGAAAAGATGCATTGTGCTCCTCTTCGACAGGGACTGATGCAATAATACGTAATAAGAAAAAGAACATATACAGTCGACCCCCTCAAAATTATTGGACTGAAGCAATATTAAATTATTAATAGTCCTTGCGTCCAAGAAACAACAAGGCAAAACGACAGAGATCTCCGTATTTTCCTTTTTCTATTTTTTCGGGAGAAATTTTCATAAAGCACTATCTTTTAGTGGTAATTAACTATTTGTAGATATCATTTGCTATATTATGGATGGTAGATACGTTTTCTGTTGTTATAAGATGTATTAGATGTATTTAAGCTACTGTATTCATGAATACAATAGCAAAAATAGGCGTGAATCAGGGAAGTCCACCTAATCAGTTGTTGTATTCGAGTGTATTCGACTGTATTCATGGCGTGAAACATGGGATTACAGCTGGACATATTATTGTATTCGACTGTATTTGACTATATTCACGGCGTGAAACAGGGGATTACACACGGAAAATGTATCAATTAACATAATAGACTCCTAATATAACTCAACAAACTCAATTATAACACACAAAATTTGTATTTCCGGTTATAAAAAAGATTTTCAACCGAAAAATACCCCAAAGACATAGCAATCATCAGAGAAATTATATAATACATCTGAATGCATAAATTATATTAATTAAGAAAACATATGAATACATTCATGGCATATAGCGAGACAGTGAATACAATGAAATACATAGAATACAACAGGATACTTTGAAATACAATAAAAAAAAAGACAGTGAATACAATGAAATACATGGAATACAACGAGATACATTAAATTACAATAAAAAAAAGACAATGAATACAATGAAATATATGAAAATAAAGCGTGATACGTTGAAAATACATTGAAATATATTAACAGAAAATCAAGTTACTCAGCCCCAAACTCCGTCGTCTTTGTTCAAGAACAACCCCTAATTTTCGACGAATCCGCCATCGAGCAATGGTGGCAGAATAAGGACTCTGTTAAAGCTTGAATCTCGTATTGAAGATGACGGAAGTTGAGAACCTCGACTTTATCGCTTTCCCAATTGGTTTTGGATAATGTTGAAGTTCCTGCCATTGGGATAACCGTACCACAAATCAACAACCTGAAGATTCCCTTTGGTGTTATTCATGAAGAGAATCGAGTGGAATTGTTTTGGCCATGATGTAGGAATTGGGTCGCTGGATTTTGAAGCATTGATTAAAGTGAAGCAAAGAGAAGATGCCGTTGGAAGGAGGAGGAGAGCGGAAATTTTAATGGGATGGGGGAAGAGAATGGCATGTATCAAAGTAGAGAGAGAAAGAAAATAGTGTAACTGAATAGCGTATTTAGTGGCTTAGGGGTATGAGGTAATCAAAATTAGATATTTTGCTATAAACATTAAAAGGTATCTATAGAATATAATTTTTTTAAATGGTATTTATTTAAAATAAAAAGGTGTTTTCCTATGCTATAGGAGGTAAAAATTCCATTCATTTCTCTTTTGTCTTCACTTATCTTTAATATTAATATTCTTGTCCATTCGTTTTCTTCCTATCCTTTTCATCTTTCGACCAACCCATTGGAACGTACTATGAAAAGAGAGCTAATTGACGAGGTTCACTTTCTTTCCATCTTTTCGTGCATTTCCTCTCATCTTTGTCTCTTCTAGGTATATATATATACCCCTTATTGTGGTCCAATAGCCAGGGGCGGATTTAGGGGGCGGAAGGGGGGTTCCCGAACTCTTTTCGCCGAAAAATTATACTGTATATATAGGGCAAAATCTGGATTAAGTTTTGAACCCCCTTAACACAACTCAAAAGTGTAGTTTAGTGGTTAAGGGGGTTCAAAACCTTCATAAGGTCATAGGTTCAATTCCCACTAGCTACAAACTCTTTTTTGGCCAAATGTGTTTTTCTTCTTTAAAGTTAAGGCGTTTGATCAAATTTTAGAAAGGAAAAAATACTTTTGAATAGAAGCAAAAGCAGTTATTGAGAGGCAGAAATAAGTAACTTCTTCCCAAAAGTACTTTGGAGAAAAATACTTTAAGAAAGTTTAACCAAACGCTAATTGCTGCTTAAAAGAGCTTTTCAAATTAATTAGTCTAATACAAACTACTTCTCACCAAAAATGCTTTTTTTTAAAAAAAGAAATTTTGAACAAAACACATATCAAAATAAGCTGATTTAGAAGCTTGGCCACACAGGCTATAAAATTCAGTGTTTGCCTAAAAGGGTTATCCTCATGGTTATCAATAGTATTATTTAAAAGGTGATATGGTTATGCGTGAACGAGAATTGTGGTTTAAACTATATGTTATCCAAGTATAAATGAGAAGACAAAATGAAATCAACTCAACCATTCTATGCAGCAAGCGTTCATACTTCAGTTGGTGATCAAGCCCTTTTTAGATTTTTATTTTTATTTTTTGTTATTTTGGCAAAGTTACAATATATATATATATATATATATATATATATATAACGCATTTGGTAATATATGATTCTGTATAAATACTATATGTATACAATAAATGTACTTCAGTATCTAGCCTAATGCGAATTCAAGTCAGGTCTAGACACATTCTCCTGTGGCATCTCATCATCACTGTCCTCTAACATTCTCTTAGTGATATCAACGTCAACTGTTGGTCCATATGCCCAGCTACAAACCAAAAAATATACCAGATTAAAAGCTGTCATAATAGCTAGAAGCCAGTAGTAATTCTCATAATGACCCTTGTTGATATTGCTTGAAATCCAACTTTCTTTCCCTTCTCCTTTAGTAAGTTTATCCACAACGCTAAAGATAACGCTTGCCAACAGATTCGCCACGGCCGCTCCTAGTCCAAAAAGTGCAGATGCAAGACTTGACATATTCATTGGCAGCTCAGAGTAATAGAATTCTGTTTGGCCAATTGCACTGAATGCCTCAGCTATACCATTTAAACTATGTTGTATAATGAGCCACATTGCGGACATTGCTACCAATCCATTGGGGTTGTTCAACAGCCCTTGGTTTATTGCTCTTTTTCGTCGAACATGTTCCACGATACCAGAGACTAACATGGATATGCAAGAGATAAATATGCCAATTCCTATTCTTTCTATAGGTCTAAGCCTTACTTGTTTTCCTTTGATTTTAGATGCCAATGGAAGGAGCACGCGGTCATAGATAAGAATCCAAATTGTTAATGCTATCATCATAAACATCCCGAATGAGCCAGCTGGTATTTCAATACCTTTAGTTAAATGTCTGTCCATGGACAGAGCTTGTAGAAAAGGGAATGAACTTTGGCTGAGGTTTATTGATATCATGATCCCCGTCGACCACAATGGCATGATTCTAATGAGGGCTTTTAGCTCCTCGACTTGGTCTATCGTGCAAAGGTTCCACGGGTTGACTGCAACTCCATTTGGCTTAACATCTTCAGGGCTCTTAATGATGCAAGCTTTGTTTAAGAACCTATCAAAGAAAAAAAGATTTTCAGCAATCGAACTGAAAAGACAACGAAATGACAAAGAACCAACATCAACAGTGTTAATCAAGAACATTGTGCACACCTCAATTTCTCAGTAGGCACTCGAAGTTTTGAACCATTCTTGCGATGGTAACCCGAGTGCTGAGTAGGGTATGGGAGTTTCCTGTTCTTGTGGGCAACCACAATTACTTTTACTAAGCTGGTAAACAAGTTTGAGGTAACCTTTTTCTTGATATAAAATGGACAAGCAAGGAAGAAAAACAGCGCGGAGAAGAACATGAGGAGTGCTGGAATTCCGAACCCTATCTTCCAGCCCATCTTATCTTGAAGGTAAACGAGACCTGTCATCGCGATCAGAACAGAGAGTATAGATGAAGCATAATACCAGGCAAAGAAACTCTCTAATACCCTTTGGTTGTTGGGATCATTTTTCTTGTCAAACTGGTTAGCACCAAAGGCTAAAGAACATGGTCTTATACCACCAGCACCAATTGACATGAGAAGGAATGCAAAGACTAAGAGCATGAATTGTGATGCTGTTGCAGATTTACAGGCCTGCCCTACTTGATTGCAAGGTGGAGGCCTTGCTTTTGGAATCATTGCTGTTAACCACAACACAGTAGTTCCCTGCAACAAAGAGGGTGTTAAGGTATTGAAGTTGGCAAGTTAATTACAAAACCAAAGCCTTATGAATATGATGAGCTTGTAAATGTAATCATATCAAAAACATCATATCGGGTAATAACATGGATCAACATGAGATATTGTTGTTTAGTGATGTAGGTATTAAGAAGCATGAGGGAAATGCAAGTGTTGTTGTGGTGGCAGTTGATGCTCATGGTTGTTGCTTCAAGCCTTTGGTTCTCGGATTCAATCCGTTGGGTAGCCGATCATTGCTAAAGCTATTAAAATTTCACATATTAAAAAAAAATCTGTTTAAAAAATGGTGGGTGAATGGCTGCTGCTGTCATTGAAAAACTGAATAGGATTCCAATATGTTGAGCTAAGACGGCCCAAAGATGCTCTTAACATGATGTGATATTGTCCGTTTTCGGCCAAGACTGCACGGTTTTCTCAGAAAGACCTCACGCCATTAATAGATTTCTACACCTTATATGTAGGTGTTAAAATTAGTGGATTGTATCTGTGTAGTTAGTGAATTAAGATTGAACATTCATCAATGGAGGTCTGGGTACAGAAGAACAGAGATGAGAGAAGAGACTTAGAGAAAAAGATGGAAATAAACGCTAAGCTTCTCATTCCACTTGCACATGCTTATATACAATTACAATCTAAAATCCAGCTAAGTGACAGTTGTCATTCCTTAACTAACCTACTAACTCTTTTAACAATAATTAACCACCTTGCTAACTACCTAACTACAGTATAACTAACAATTGCAACTACAGTTAGTTAACTCACATTACTCCTATTTTATCACTCCCCCTCAAACTGGTAGGTGCAAAAACATTGAGCACTCCCAGTTTGGATACTAGATACTCATGTTGTGATCTCAGACGTGCCTTGGTCAGTATATCTGCTTGTTGTTCTTTAGGACTAACATGATGTGTTTTAATTAATCCTTGTTGAATCTTCTCTCTTATAAAATGACAATCAATCTCTATATGCTTTGTCCTCTCATGGTACACTGGGTTTGCTGCAATTTGTTGTGCTGCCTTGTTATCACAGAACAGATCAATTGGTTTCTTCACATCTGTTCCTAGCTCCTTGAACAATCCAGCCACCCATATCAATTCTGCTACAGTCCATGCCATGCTTCTGTACTCAGTTTCTGCTGAACTTCTTGACACTGTGTTTTGTTTTTTGGATTTTCAGGAAATGAGTGAGTCTTCATACTTTACTAGAAAACCAGTAACTGATTTTCTTGTATTAGGACATGATGCCCAATCAGCATCACAATAGGCACTCAAAACATTTGTCTTTCTGCTACTCATCAGTATGCCAAGTCCAGGCTCTCTCTTGATGTACCTCACAACTCTTAAGGCTGCTTCCCAACGACATCTCTTCGGCTGCTCCATGAATTGGCTAAGGGTCTGAACAACAAAGGCTATATCTAGTCTGGTTAATGTCAAGTACAACAGTTTCCCAATAAGTCTATGATATTTCCCTTTGTCTTCCAATGCATCATCATCTTGCACCCCTGAAATGTCATCTAGTTCTTTGTTAGTAAACTTCTGGTTGTATTCAAGTGGAGTCCAAGCAGGCTTTGCAGCACTCAATCCCAATTCACCAATTAACTCTAAGGCATATTTCCTCTGGTTCATCAGAATACCTTTGGTGGATCTACTGAATTCAATTCCCAGAAAGTATTTTAACTCTCCAAGATCCTTCATTTGGAATGTTTTGTTCAGTTGATCCTTAGTGGCTTCTATTAGCTTCAGATTATTCCTAGTTATCAGCATGTCATCCACATAAACCAGAATGACAATAATGTTGTTATCCTGTTTCTGAGTAAACAAGGAATGATCCAGACTACTTTGAGTAAACCCCTGAGCCAGTAAAGCTCAGTCAACTTGACATTCCATTGCCCGCTTGCTTGCTTCAATCCATAAAGGGATTTGACAAGCCTACATACAAGATGCTCCCCTGGCTTGCAAAGCCCTCAGGTAATTGCATATATACTTCATCATGAAGATCCCCTTGTAGAAAAAGCATTGTACACATCCATCTGATGGATGTGCCAACCTTCTGCTGCAGCTATAGAAACCACTGATCTCACAGTTGCTATTTTAACCACTAGTGAGAATGTTTTAGTGTAATCAAGACCTTCTTGCTGGTTGTAGCCTTTGGCGACCAATCGTGCTTTAAACCTCTCTATATCACCATTGGCTTTATACTTCACCTTGAATACCCATTTGTAACCAATGGGAATCTTTCCTTTAGGTAAAGGTACCAATTTCTCATGTTTTGTTCTCCTCCCAGGCTGAAATTTCAGTCTTCATAGCCTCTACTCATCTGGGGTCTGCAGAAGCTTCTTTGAAGGATCTTTGTTCAGCTACAGAAGTAAGGGCAGTGAGGAAATGTTTGTAGGCAGGACTGATGTTAGTATAGTTAACTGAATTCTGAATAGGATATGAAATATGTGAAGCACAATTGGTAACTGGTGTGACAAAATCCTTTAACCAACCAGGAGTCTTTTTTGTTCGAACTGACTTTCTTAATTCTATTGACTCAATCGATGGCATGGCATCTGAAAAGAAAATTTCCTCATGTGCAGATTTACTCACAGGTAAATCTTCCATTACTGCTTCTGTATCTGGTTCAGGAACAGGTGGAATATTTGTAGTGGTAGGTATATCTGCTTCATGATCAACTCCAGCTGATGGAACTGGTGAAGCAACATTCTCGAATTGAGCAATCTCTAGATCATCTATAACAGCTTCTCCTTCTATGTGATCCACAACAGGATCAAGCAATATAGGACAATTCAAACCACCATCAGAAAACAGTGGTAAAGGTCGACCTTTCTTGAACTTGAAGGGAAACAGAGTTTCTCTGAAGCTAACATCTCGGTTGATGAAGAAGGTCTGAGCAGCTAAATCATACAAGACATATCCTTTAGTAGATTTTGAATATCCCATCATGATAGCTGCAATTGCTCTAGCAGCAAATATATCATGGTTAATCAGCTTCTTTGCAAAACATAAGCACCCTATTGTCTTTAGATGCTGCAGATTAGGTCTCCATTTTGTGAAAAACTTCATAAGGTGACTTCCCTTGTAATGCAACAGATGGCATTCTGTTTATCAAGTAAACTGCTGCTATGACATAATGCCCCCAAAATTTTAAGGGAATTGCTCCCTGAAATCTGATTGCCCTGGCTATCTCCAGAATACGTTTGTGCTTTCTTTCAGCCACCCCATTTTGCTGTGGGGTGTGCACACAAGTTCTTTGATGTATGATTCCCAAACTCTGAAAGATCTAAGAACAATTTGCATTAATGATCTAATCATTTTCACAGATTTCCCAAACTGTGTTTGTATCATTTTGAAGAAGTTCCTTAAAATCATAACTATATCATTTTTAAACTTGAGCAAATACAACCAAGTAATTCTAGAATGATCATCTACAACTGTTAGAAAAAATTTATTCCCATTGTAAGTTTTGAAACTGTAGGGCACCCATACATCAATATGTAACAAGTGAAAAACTTCAGTAGCTTTACTTGTACTAGTACTGAATGACAATCTAACATGTCTTACTAATGGACAGATTATACAGTTTTCAATTGTTTTTCTACACTGTTCTTGAGATAGTCCCAACATTTGTTTTATTGCTCCAACTGATGCATGCCCCAACCTTCTATGCCAAAGATCAATATCTACCTTCTCCTTCATTACAGCCAAGCCTTTATTTTCAGCAGTTGTCCTTTTAGTATAAACCTGAGCAAACAGATAGAGATCACCTCTTTCTCTACCAATCCCCTTGACCTTCCCACGGTAAAGGTCCTGGAACATGCAAAAACTTGAAAAGAAGGTGACTGAGCATTGTAATGCCTTTGTGAGCTTAGAAACAGACAACAAATTGTACTTGAAGTCTTGTATATATAGAACATTGAGTAAAGTGTCTATGCCATTGAAACTACATGAACCAATGTGTGTTACAGCAGTTGTTCCTCCATTTGGTAAGTGTACCTTTTGTTGTTCCTGAGGTTTTAATTTAGTTTTGTTTTCTAACACATTTAGGTCTGAGATCATATGGTTTGTAGCTCCTGAGTCAACAATCCAATCCTTCTTCTGTGAATCTACTAAAAAAACATTATCATTACCTGCCATATTTGTTAAGATTTCATTAATACCTTCCATGTTAGCTGATGATTTACCAGTGTTGTCCTGTTTGAGCAGCTTCAGAATCTGAGAGTACTGTTCAGGGGTGAAATAAGGGCCTAGCAATTGTTCTGCACCACTGTCATCACCATGGTTTTGTCTTCCCTCCTTTGCATCCTATTTTCTACCATCTCCAGCATAGACATTATGAGCTACAATGGTATTCTGCTTCTTCTTATGCTTGAAATCAGCAGGGTACCCTATGAGTTTGTAACAACCTTCACGAGTGTGACCTTTTAGTTTGCAGTAGTCACAGTACACATTATAGTTCTTCTTAGACTTCTGAGCAAAACCTCCTTTTGCCATCATAAGTGCTATAATATCTGCATTATCAGTTGCAGATATAGTGTTTGTCATGTTCCTTTGGCTCTCCCTCTCCATAAGCATAGAGTATGCTTTGTTAATGGTGTAGGCACAAGTACCATCATGAGCAGCTGACTTCTAGCATGTTCATATGATTCATTGAGTCCCATCAGAAATTGTAGAAGCATTTGACGCTCCATAAACTGGACAAATTCACGAGAATTGGTAGTGTCACGACCAGGAATTGGTGCCAAACTATCAAATTCTGCCCAAAGCACTCTCAATTTGGAGAAAAAAGTTGAAATTGAGCTAGTGCCCTGCCTAGAAGTGGCAATTTCTCTGTGGATCTGAAAAATCCTAGAACAATCCACCTTATCAAAACGCTCCTTCAAATAAACCCATACCGCACTAGCAATTGAGGAATACACCATTCCACTCAATAATTTCGGTGAAACATAGTTCATCAACCAAGACAAT